CCTTCCTTCCTTCCTTCCTTCCTTCCTTCCTTCCTTCCTTCCTTCCTTCCTTCCCACTACATCACTATAAAATATATGTACATGCATACAGTATATACATACCCAAGTAGTGTTGCATGGAACTAAATGCAGAAATCTGAAGCAGCACACAGTGTCATGCTTTATTCAGCAATAGAGAAGTAATTTTTATAATTAAATGTTGTTATAATTCCAAATTTAAAATGCAAGTTTTTTTTTTAATAGAAAAAGTAAACTGAAGATATTTGATTTTATAAGTATTCATTTTTATTCATTTGGGAATGATAGGAGATCTTTCAGCTTTGATTCCCCCCCCCAAAAAAAACCTGACCCCACTTCTTAATTGTAATATATCTATTTTCATTTTGCAGTTAGCTAAAGTAGGTTGGAGAATAGTATTTATATTCAGGGTCTGCATTCAGGAATGTCTAAGAACCAAATTATAAAAAAAAGGGTTTTCTCTATGTGTTTGTGTTATGCACACACCAGAGCCCATGTGCACACAGGTGCATGTTTTTCCCTAACTAGGGACATGGTTTTAATAGAAGTCTGTATAATGAATATGTCATATGCTGAAGCACACAGAACCAAAATAGAATCTGGCCAGGATTTATGAATATTAGCGCATACTCATATTCTGGAGAAACAGAGCAACTTGGCCATCATCCAGAAGTAGGAAATGAAAAGCAATTACTATAAGATAGGGATTTATTTTCTAATCATTAGCAGAACTGAGTGACATTTGTACTGATATATTTTCAATTCACCTTAAAATATGATTTTGTATATTTTTAGGGGGTTTTCTTTGTCTCTTTTACTCGCCCCCTTCCCAAATAATTCACTGTTTTATTCCAGAGGGATTATATATAAAGAATGCAAAATAAAAAGCATCTATATGGATATATTTTTACAACAGATTTGTTTCTAATCCAGTCCTGCATTATACTGGTTTTCTGGACTCATTTAAATCTGTTTTCTAGGAAGAAAATAGCCCTGGTCTCTCCGGAAATAACCCTTACCAAAATAGCTACAAAGCTTTCCTGGATCTCTTATTGCCATTTAATTTCCTGACCACTGGAATCTGTGTTTTTTAAATATTCTGAATAGCTGGCACCATAGTTATTTTACTTATTTGCATGATGGTTGTCACCATCTCATGATTTCATTCTCAGTGCAGTATGCTGGGGACACTGCTGCTGTCAGTGTAATCCCAGGGCAAAATCTATCAAATTTTGTACTATTTCAGAACTGTACCCTTTTATGCAAATATTTATTTACTGAGTTAAGTATTCTGCTGTTGAAATGATTTTGCAAATGTATCATTACACAGTCTTTCACATATGCTGATAATAGGCTTATATTGCATTTTAACTCTATTTTTCAGGTTGAGCCAAACACGAAACTATTTCCAGCTGTTTTTTTACAGCCTACAAGCACAAGCCTGGTACAGTTTGAATTGGGTAAATTAAAGGTATTTTTTAATCAAATTACAATCAATAGATGTTGTGATTTTTAAGTAAATTCAAACAGGCAAACTGTGTAAACTAGTCAACAGTAAGAGCAGAGTCTTACATCAGAATAACATTTAATCACTGTTAAGCAAAGTAGTTCATGAATAAATATATAGAGGCAAATATTTAACCTCAGGGATAATCTTTGCTTGTATAATCCACTTCCCCAAACAATACAGAGCTGCAGCGTAGCAGAGGTCAGAATCATTTGGAAGATAATATTTTGGCAAACTGTAGTACTCTTGAATTACCTATTTACAGTGCATTTGAGCTATTATTACAAGAGCACAATAATTTAGGGAATGTGAACCAAATAGTTTTATGTCGAGGTTGGAAAAATAAACTTAAGACAGGATGGTGCTATTTGACAAGATATCCATCCATAGTTTTTTTATTTCATAAACTCCACCCACATTATGTGACATCACATATTAAATTAGCTACATTATGCCAAGTTGGCTTTGCTAGGCTGTGTATCATTTTTGTGCCTCTTAAGTGTGTGTGAACCATTACTTCATTCCTTTTGTATCTGCTTAAGAAGTATGGATGGAGAAAAGGAACCACACAGATAAATGTCTTCTTTCTGACCCACCTCCTGAGCATGAAGTCATTGGGACTAGTTCTCCACATTCATTTAACAAGCATGTCTACAATAGTCGCTCTCTCTCTATATACAGTATACATTATACATACGTGTACTATTATTAAGGTTCAATTTAGAAAATTTAAATTTCCATGTATGATTTTATAGAACACCATGCCTTTATCAGCTGCAATCTTTAAAAGTGAAGAGAGAAATCCCATTCCTCAGTGTCCTCCTCGGCTGGATGTTCAAACACTCACACCAGTTGTTTGGAGCAGAATGCCAAACAGCTTCCTGAAAGTAGAGACTGATCGTGTCAGTGATCGCCATGGATGGCTAGTACAATGCCTGGAACCATTGCAAATGATGGCCCTTCATATTCCGGAAGAAAATAGGTATATATATATTTTTTAAAAAATCATAGAATGTATGAGTTGGAAGTGATCTTACAAGTCAACTAGTCCTACTGCTCAGCTCAGGTATTCTCTAAACCGTTTCCATAGATGGCCATCTATTCTTTGTTTTAAAACTTCCAATGAGGAGGAATTCTAGGCAGATAGTTCCAGTGCTGAACAATTCTTATCATCAGGAATTTATCGCAATTTTCGGCCTGAATCTCCTTTTAATTTCAATCTGCTAGTCCTTGTCCTCCTCTCAGTTTCAACAGAGAACAGGTCCATCTCATCATACATGTGACAACCTTTTAGGTATTTCTAATTATTTTATCTTTCCTTAGTCTTCTCTTCTGCATTCTAAATGCATCTATCTTAAATATTAAGATAAATATTAAGATTAAGTATACTTAATCTTAAGTATTACTCATGGACTTGGCTTCTAGAACCCTTTTCATTCTGATAGTCCTCCACTGAGCCTGCTCCACATTCTTTTTAAAATGTGGTAGCATACGGGATATAATACTGGATATAGTACTCCAGGTGTGATCCAACCATAACACAATACAATGAATGATTATTTCCCATGACCTGGACACAGTCTTCTCCTAATGTAGTCCAAAATTGCATTAGCTGTTTTAGTTGTTGCATAATAGTGTTTGCATGTGTTCAGCTGATGGTCTATTCCTCCTCCTAAGTCTTTCTCACAAATAAGTTTTATAGTCAACTCACAAAGTAATGTAGCTTGCTAGATTTATTCATGTATTTTGCCAATTTTTTAATTTTTTAATTTTTTTTTACTTATCTAGAAAGTTTATATAGACACCCATCTTAAATTTATAATCCTGAATAGCTCACAACAAATCACAAAAAGTACATTAAAAACCCATAAATCACAAACATAATACATCAACCAAGGCATTATAACACACTGCCAATACAGCTATGCCTACATTGGGCTCAACAGACATACTGACTCAGCTCCTGGGGGGAAAAACCAGGTTTTTAATAGCATTCCAGAAGACCAAAAGGGTTGGGACTCCGGATCTCATGGAGGAGGCTGCTCTATAGGGCAGGTACCACAACAGAGAAGGCACATCTTCTCAGTTTCACCAGATGACACTGCTTGATAGAGGAGACCTGGAAAATGCCCACCCTGTTGGACCTGGTGGGACTGGCAGAAACCCTTGGAGAGGTTCAGTACTGCAAGTAAATTGGTCCTGTGCCTGGCAGGGCTTTAAAACTGGTAACCAATACCTTGAATTGCACCCAGAAGGATATTTGTTATTTTATATAATTATATCAAAGATTATTTCAATCATAATTCTTGCAGTGCTTTGTGACTTTCCATTTAGATTACAGCAATACTGCATCATAAATCTAAAGAAAATACTCTCTAGAAAATACATACACATGCACAAAACTTTAATTGGACACTTGGCCCAGAAATTAGTTTATTTTTTTTAAGAATACCATTGGCCAATTAAAGTTGGAAGGAAAGACATAGAATTTCTGTTACTAAAATTCATGCTTTTTATGTTGTCCAATAAAACTAAAAATATACAGCAACTGATGATCTAAGGGTTCATGCTGCTAGAATATTTTATAAAAACCTCTAATTCTTTAACGTTATACGTAACAAAAACTTATGATTTCAAAGTATACAATATAATTTGTGATTTATAATCAAGCAGAACTTCCTATCCTTCAATAATGTTAAAGAAGTTGGTAAATACTGCATATCTTAACAACATTTTAAGGCATTTTGTTTTCAATGTATCTATTTCATCTGAATTTAAGTATGTGTAATTAAAAACAATAGTGAGTTATCTTCTCAGGTGGTAGTGTATAAATCTACTTTATAGAGTTCACCCTTAGATTTTTTTCACAAACACTATCTAACAAAGTGTACTTAATAAAAAGAAACCTGTTACAAAATTCATTTTTTGTTTGTTTTGTTTTTGTATCATTTCAGGTGTATCGATATTTTGGAATTATGTGAACAAGAAGATTTGATGAGGTTCCACTATCATACTTTAAAACTATATAGTTCTGTTTGTGCTCTGGGTAATAACAGAGTAGCTTATGCTCTTTGCAGCCATGTTGATGTTTCCCAATTATTTTACACAATAGATAATCAGTATTTGCCTGGACTTTTACGTTCTGGATTTTATGACTTGTTGATTAGCATGCATTTAGAATATTCCAAGGAAGCAAAACTCATGATGAACAACGAATTTATCATTCCTATTACAGATGAAACCAGGAAAATCCGATTATTTCCAGATGAATCAAAGAAACATGGCTTGCCTGGAGTTGGACTTAGCACATGCTTGAAACCAAAGTTTAAGTTCTCTACCCCTTGTTTCATTTTGTCTAATGAGGATCATCAAAAACCTAGTCCAGAGATACCAGTTGAGATCCTTAAGAGAAAGGCCATAAGCATGTTGACAGAAGCAGTCTACTGCAGTGGAACTCATATACGAGACCCTGTTGGAGGGAAAGTTGAATTCCAGTTTGTTCCTGTTCTGAAACTTATAGGAACTTTGCTTAGAATGGGAGTTTTTAATGATCATGATGTTAAACAGATTTTGCTTCTCATTGATCCATGTGTGTTTGGTGAGACCAAAGAAGAAGCAATGGAGCAAGCAGAGAAAGAGGATGTTACCCAGATAGAAGAAAAAGCAATAGAGGCTGGTGAAAAGGCCATTAAGGAAACCAAGACCCCAACAAAAGGCTTGCTGCAAACAAGATTGCCAGAGTCGGTTAAACTCCAGGTGATAATCTTAAAGTAACTGCAATTATATTATGTTACTGAAACATAACATACAGTTTCCCACGGTGTTCTCAATTTTTCATTAGTTTTAATGTGTCACCTGGGATAAATCAATTTTATCTTCTTATGCCAGAATTCTTCTATAAACTCTTGATAAAAGAGATAAATGCATATAAAACATATTAGCGTGCAGAACTGGAAAACATGGTGATGTAGATATATTTATACTGATTCTCCTTCCTCTTGTGTAATTCACACAGGTGCATTAATAATCAAACAGGAGAAATTGGGCTGAATGGGAAGAAAATATCTATCACTATGGTTCTGCAAATATGTGTGCAAAGATACACACAAGCTTTCCCATGGTTACAATAGGTGGGCTGAAGCAGAGTCCAAGCAAGATGGAGCTGCTGTCTATAGGCTTGTCTCTCAGTGGGGAAGCAGTAGGTGCACACCTGGGGGGTTCTCTTGGACTCATGGCTACTGCTGAATAGGCAGGGGGAGACCATGGCAGGAGCTCCTGTGCCAACTTCCAGCAAATTACAAATTAATACTTGGTCAGATTACTGGAATGTGCTCTACATGGGTGCCTTTGAATACCATGCAGAGACTATAAAAGACACAGAATGCTGTAACCCATGTATTAGCTGGTGCTAGTCACTCTGAACCCATTACATGAGTCCTTGGACTCTGCACTGGTTCCAGTAACATTCCAGCTGCAATTCAAATGGGCGGCTTTGACTTTTAAAGCCGTAGGTGACTTGCCACCAAGGTGCCTGCAGGATTGTCTTCACCTACTGGAATTGACCGATCCACCAGATTCATTCCATGTTGGTGATTCTCCAATTTTTGTGAGGCTAGAGTTGCTGAGGTTAGATGGCTTTGTCTCTCCATTATGGCTCTAATATTGTGGAAAAAATCTATCCTTGGAAACTAGGCTTGCCCCATTATAAAACACTTTCTGGCAGCTGGTCAATGGAAACTCTTCTCAAAAGCTTTTGGTGCTTGATTGGACGATGTTGTCTATTGTTGTGGTAAGATGCTCTGGTATTTTAATTAATACATTTTAATTAATTTTGATTGCAGTGGAGATTTTATGTGTATTTTGTTATGTGGTCTGGAGTCATGAATCATACTGGATACTGGTATACTGGAATGACAAATAAATATACATTTGTTCTCATTTCTTTTTCTTCTTCTTTTTTGCAAGATTGACCAGATAATTTCAAAATCTAAAAACCTTGTAGATATAGGAAACTTTAGATGCTGGACAATGACCTTACACCATGCATATTTTTTTGAATTATAAAATTGAAGAAGCATATTTCTCCAGTCTCATCACCATTCCATATTTTACTAATAATACTATTGTACATATTTTAAAGTCAGTTAAATCATTATAAATATTACAGGTATTTGGAGTCTAGAGTGTTATCCAGATGCTAAAAGCTTTGACTTGTAAATGTGCCATTTTATTGTAGAAAAATATATATTTAAAACTAAGAAGAAAGAAAAGATGTTAGGACAATTCAGATCAGACTAATGTTGGTCCAGATGCTGATATCGGTCTGTCTGTCACTTTCCCCATCACTTGTTTGTTCAGTGGGTTACATTTGGGAAGAGAGTGACACTCCTAGATTTTTAGCCTACTTTATCCTAGAAAATGTAGATTTATAGATTCACTAAGGCTGTTGTATGAAATGTAACAATGTTTATTTCAACTGGAAGACTCCTTACATTAGTGAAAGGACACTTTGGATTCAACTGATTCTCCTTTTTCATTGACCACAAAATTGAATTTTCACATGTAGTGATGTATAAAAACTTGCTATGGCTCTCACATTTAGAATTGTATGAGGCCAATGTATAATTCACCTGTATAATGCATTTATTCTTTCATATTAGATGTGCGAGCTACTAAATTATTTCTGCGACTGTGAGCTGAAACACAGAGTGGAAGCTATTGTGTCATTTGCAGATACCTATGTCTTAAAGTTACAGTATAATCAGAAATATAGGTACAATGAACTGATGCAAGCCCTGAATATGTCTGCTGCTCTGACTGCCAGGAAGACAAAGGAATTTCGCTCTCCTCCTCAAGAGCAGGTAGATGAAGATCCTTCTTTCTTTCATAGCAGGGAGTATAGAAAGAGAAAGGAGCAAAACCTTCAATAACCTTAAAATGTAGTATCTACTAAAAAAGGCTTTCCCCCTAACAAATTGCATAGAAGGAGGTATCTTGCAATATTTCTGTACTATTCAATAATAGTGCAGAATTAGAATAAAGAAAATATTAATTAAAAAAATTAAAGAATGAATTAAGAAAAAAATAATTAGAATAAAGAAAGCTGTTGTTTTTAACTTCCAAACATTTTTGAGTCTTCTACAGAATTCCTGAGAGTTATAACAAGGGGAATTAATTAGGAATCTAGAAAACTGTATGGCTATAGCTTATTGGCAGCATTATAAATTCTTAGAGAACACTATATCCAGAATTACTAGAATGCTATTTAAAAGTATCTAGCATTTCTAACGCAGAGCATCCTAATAGAAAGAAATAGAATAAAAACATGATCCTGTATTTTCCAGGACAGAGTTTAAAAGAAGATGGAAGGAACAGGACAATTATTAGTGGCCTCTCTCTCAAATGTAGATGAGCTTTCAAAAAGATTTTCTGGTGATGAATTGAAACAAAAATTAAAGTGAAACTCTGAACACAAGTTCTAATTTTAATGTTATAATTTCAGATAAATATGCTGCTAAATTTTCAGCTGGGGGACAATTGTCCTTGTCCAGTGGAGATTCGGGAAGAGCTATATGAGTTTCATGATGAGCTCCTAATTCATTGTGGTAGGTAGTAGGCATTCATTTCTGGTGAGTGGGCAATTTTGTTTGTGAAAGAGTATTACTTACAGATCTTCCACTGTTACTGTATTTTCATGGGAAACATAATACTGACAAAATAAAAAACATTTCCCATGTAAAGAACTACTAATCTGAATGATCACACATTTTTTGTATCAGTGGATCTCACTCAGCTGGTTCCCAAAATTTCTTATTTTCCCCAGAAAAGGTAAAATATCTCTGGAATGGAGCTTAACTCCTGGTTATTATATGGATACGTCCATGCAGTTTTCTTGGTAGCAGAACAGAAATGGTTTGTTATTGCTATTCAATAGGAAGCTTTTTTTAGCCATTGATATTCCCATTGGTGATCTCCCATCTAAGTACTGACCAGATCCAACCTGTTCAACTTTTTCAAGATTATTTAAGGTCAGCTGGGTGCCACCACTTGCTGTAACTCCTTAACTTCCCTTACATAATTTAATGTTCATTGACCTGGTCTACACTTAGAAACTAAGCATGGATGGTAGGCTTCCAGAATTCATGCAATAATCCTCAATTTCCAATTGCTTTTCCCATTCCTATTGCTCCTTCTATCTACCATAACTCACTTTGCCAAACAATACTGACCTACATTTTGGGATAGTTGGGTCATTGAGCAATCACTATGAAGTCAAAGGAAAATTATTAAAATCCTCATGCAACCATTCACCTCACCTCTCCCACTCATTGATGTTTATGCTGTCCTGTGCAGTGAAGTTTCCTGAACCTTCTTTATTTTATTTTCACTGGCAGCCCTTCCTTGAACAGATTGTGCATGTCTAATTACTGCATGAGATGCATAAGGATGGTTCTTTAGTTATTGGAATACTTATATTATTTTTATTGTTGTTATTACTACCCACTAGGTATTCCATTAGATGAAGAAGAAGAAGAGGAAGAAAAGATTTCATGGGCTGGAAAACTATGTTCGTTGATATATAAAATAAAAGGAACACAAAAAACTGATAAGAGAGAGCCAACAGAAGAAGAAGAAAAATATCCTAGTAAAAATTTAAATTTGTATTAATAGTTGTACTTCTTACCTTAAGAGATAGCTTTAGATAAACTATTACTTTTCAGTGTCCCATGCGCATGAAGAGTTATTTATCTCACAGGGAAGAGTGATCTAGAGTCCAGTCCATCTGGAATCTTAATTAAAGAATGAATCAGCTCTCCAGTCTAGGACCATGCCATGAGTTAAGTATGTCATGCTTCCTTTTTAGTCACGGTACCTACAAATCCAAAGCACATGAGATTCTTAAATTGTGATTAGTATCAGAGTTCAGGTTGATCAAATCATCGGCTGAGATAGTACAGACAAGTTCTGTCAATTTAATTCTGAAAGGAAGGTTTTATTGGAGATGAGATATAGTTGGTTGGTATGGTTTTACTGCTATTATTTATGATGTTTGGGTCTAATTGTAGATTTTACCATGGATGTTTTAAATTGTGTCACTGTGTGAGTTAGTTTGCAGAGGAGAAATAATAAAGTTTCTTGATCCCCATTTCTGACAACAGGAAAGGAAAAGGTAACCCTATGTATGACTTTCTCCACAACAAAAGAAGTTTTTTCTCGCCCTGGTAACAGTATTATAATCTCACATAGGTTTCCATCAAGAATATGAGAGCCAGTTTGGTCTAGTGGTTAAGGCTCCAGGCTAGAAAGCAGGAGACTGTGAGTTCTAGTTCCGTTTTAAGCATGAAAGCCGGCTGGGTGACTTTCGGCCAGTTACTCTCTCTGAGCCCAACTCACCTCACAGGGTTGTTGTTGTGGGGAAAATAGGAGGAGGAGGGAGTATTAGATATGTTCACCGCCTTGAGTTATTTATAAAAATACTAAAGGCAGGATAAAAAAAAAATCTAAAACGAATATAACCACTGCTTTTGTGAACAGACCATTCAAGAGAGCAGCTGTGAGCACTTCTTATGTGTGGAGCACACTTCCTTCCCATTCCATGACATAGATAGCCTTCAACTGTAGGGTCTTAATTAAAACGGTACAATTTTAGATAGAGAGGATTTTGATAAAGAAAAGGAACAGCATATTCAGAATATATTTGTCTTGTCTTTTTGAGAATATCTGTACCAGTGTTTCAACCTCAGCAACGTTAAGATGGGTAGAACTCCCAGAATTCCCCAGCCAGCATGGGGAAGTTAAATCTTAAAGTTGCTGAATCTTAAAGTCGCTGAAGTTGAGAAACACTGTCCTAGCCATCTCTCTCAGGCTTAAAAGAATAAAATAGTCTAATCAAAATAGTTTACCCCCTGAAGATATCGGCAATTAGTTCAAAGTGCCTGCCTTTCCACCTCACTGCCTACCTCCTTCTCTAATTGTCCATATCTGTCTGCAAAGGCTGGTGTTCTAACTGCAACTCGATCATTAAATTCAGGACAAGGATAACACAGATGATAGGCACTGCATTTTCCCTTTGAACTGCAACCCTAGTGCTGCTAGAGCTTTGTACAATAAGCTTTCAAAACTTCCTGCTGAAAAAGCAATTAAAGACAGGTCTACAAAGCTATTTTTTGCAGGAGTCTTTTTGTGGTTCCTTTTAAAGATATGATCTGCTATGACATGCAATCTTTTTGCCTGAAATTTATATCTCTTGTTTTGAGGCCAAGCTGAGCACTACTTGGTTGGAATGAAAATACATATTTTAACTTTTCTTTAGCTCATTGTATAGCTCCAAGTGATCTTATTCCCTCAAGACTTTCATAATCCTTCCTCCAGGCAGCTCTAACAGTTAGAAAGGAAACTTCAAGAGAAGATCCTCTATACTCATAGAAAACCCTCTTAAGCTTTGTAAAACTCCCATATCCACTGTCTCTTGCTTTTATTCTCCCCCCTCCCCCAGTCACAGTAGATGGCCCTCCGTTTTGCCAGTTTTTGCAGCCATAAGCAAGGGTGTAAACTGTGTTTCAGCTTGAGCACAAAGCAATCCCTTCTATCAGATGGCTTGCGCAGCACTCAACAAAGCATTTACTAGACCAATAGTTTTATATTTCTGCAGGTATTGCTTGTCAGTTTCTCAGTTATAGGTTGAGGAATTCTCCTTTTCCAGTTCACATCAGAAAGGCCAAGGCTACTCCACATTTGAAGCATCTTTGAAAAATGTTGGCCTTGTCTAGTAAACCAAAAGAAAAGATGATCCTTTATCAATTTATCAGTTTATAACTTACTTATGTATAACTGCTTTATGCTGCTTAAGTTAAGAATGAATTAAGTGGCTTACAGCAGCATAATTCATTAAAGGGATTTCCTTTTCTATATGCAACAGTCTGCAAATGATCAACAAGCCACTTTAGGGCTTTCAAGAAACCTGTCATCTTTTGCTGTGTGTATGGAATTCCATCTTAAAATTCTTCCTAGCAATTCATGAACTTGACTCTACAATTCCATCTTTCCTCATGCATAGAATGTAGAGGTGTTTTTTAAAAAAAAATTATTGAAAAATTCAATAACAATAGTAAAAGACAATGCAAACTAAACTCAGAAAGAAAAATAAAAATAAAGAGAGAATAAAAAGTGCAAAGAGAAAAGAGGAAGAAATAAGAAAAGGAGAAAAGAAAGATTTAAAGAATGGACTTCCAATCTTCATCACAACAAATTTAGTAATTCTTCACCCTGATTAGGTTACATGCAAGTATCTCTTCTTCCCTTAACCTATCCCTTATTCATACGCAAATCCATAAATCATTAACATTTCAGTCCTGGCGTCAGCAAAAAGTCCATAAAGGGTTCCCAGAGCTTTATAGAAACATGTCTTATTTTAACCTTGGTCAAACAAACCAACTTGTATTCCTTCCTTTTGCTTCTAACAGTCTTGGTCTTTAATTCATTCAGATATTGTAATAGGATTTGATCTCACTTCAAATTTTCTTTTTCCCATCTCAAAGGCTTCTTCGAGGCTTTGGCAAACCTGTTTTGTAAATCCAGTAAGGAGTCATTATCCAGGTCATTCTCTGGCTTGCCATTTGTATTTCTACTTTAACTGTCATCTCTGTCTTATAATCCACAATTTTTTATTTTCAAGTATTTCAACAATTTCTTTATATTCTAATATTTCTACATCAGGCGAGGTTTGTTTTGGGTCTTTATCCTATAGAACTTCCAAGGTATTCTTTTTCACATCTGTAATTTTTTCTTTAACATCTTTTGGAAATAATCTATTCATAGGATCCCATTCTTCAAAGATCTCCTGGAGTATTTCACATATCATACAATTTTCTGTCATTTTGTCCCAATGCTGACCAAAAACAAAAAGAAAGCCTCTCTATTCCTTTTCTGTCTGGAATCTTTAGTGCCCTTTAGTGTCCACTTTCTGAAAGCATAAAGTCTCAAATTTCTGTTATGACTTAAGAAAGGCCAAACAATTTAGTTCCTACAAAGGTGCTATTTATTTATATAATTATTTCCAAAATCCTATAGCAAAAGTCCTAATATTCCAGATTTGTCTGGTCCCTTAATTTGCTTATAATTTTCTTAAATTAAAATCTTATTTAGCTTTTTGTCATTTATTTCAATTTTTTTAAGTTCTTAAGCTTATAGTTAATTTTTCTTTTATTCTAGAAAGAAGGTAAACTCACCAGGTGGCTTTGTGAACTTCTTGTTTTGAAGATCTCTATTAGCCTTAATATAGTTAAATAGTTAATTTCTGAAAGTGATTAGAAAGTGAGGCTAATGAACCCAATGCCCTTAAAAAGGCTTCACTGTGGTAGAGAGCCCCTTTGTCTCCCGTGGGAAACCACTGCCCTGCAGTATCCTCGCAAAGAGCACCTGTCCAGAGCACTAGTGGATGATCTCCAGTCCTCTCCTTTCCCAGAGAGGTTCTGTGGGACTGGCCTACTCTCCTGTCTTGATCGTGGCCGTGACATCATTTCTGCTTGTTCAGAGACATGTTAGCCTGCCATTCCTCACCCAGAAGTCCCAGAATGCAGAGATGTGTGTGTGTGTGTGTGTTTTCTGGGCACTCCTTGAACTGGGAGTTGAGAGTTGAAATACTGTCTCTTTCAAGCTTTCTGTTTCATTGACAGCTGCATGGCAGAGGTAATCAAGATTACTATGTAAAATTTTCTTCATCTTTAATCGATGATTCGCATGGGAAGTACAAAATAATATGGGTTGTGTAGTCATATATATACTGCAAATCAGCCATGTGTGCCTACTCATAATTTAGATATTTGAATACTAGAGGTACTGTACTCCTGAAGCCCCATGTATCACAGAAAGCTAGCTCAATTAATAGTTTAAATCCATTCAACAGTTTATCTTGCTGTCATAAATCAGAGATAAAGGAGATTTTGTTCTTGCCTATGTGCCTCTTTTTTGGGGGGGGGTTAGCTATGCGAATTACATGACCCACCTTTCTTCCAGTTCCTAGCAGAACTGCAGAATTTTAATAAACCTTATGTCAAGAGCTAAGCTGTAAGAAGCTGTTAGAAGAAGCAGCTGGGTGACTGGTGAACCAACTGGCTCATTAACACTTTAGTAATGTATTTTAATATACAGTGGAACCTCGGTTCACGAACTTAATTCGTTCTGTGACTCTGGTCGCGACCCGAATTGGTCGCGACCTGAAGCAAATTTTCCCATAAGGTTCAATGTAATTACCGTTAATCCGTTCTGGCGTGGAGGACAGGGAGGCAGC